CAATCGTTTAATCCTATCGTTTTGATGAGTACACTTTCACCACATTCAATATTTATTCTGGCAATAAAGCTATAATAATGATCACCATCGATTTGAAATATTAATTTACATTTTAATGAAAAAAAAACAATAAATTAATGTTAAAAACAATTACAGAAACGAATGTGAGAAGAGCTTCAGATTTTTCTTGTTTCAGTGTTTTTCATTGCATATTTATGTAGTGTGCTTGCATGATGTTTACGGGGTTTCGTCAATTCAACATTTTTATCATGTTTACTTTTTATCATGGTCTGAGAGACCGTAAGAGAAAATATTTTTCAGTATAAGAAATATTTCGAGTTAAAGAGACGACATAAAAAGACGACAGGTACTGTAATATTGGAGATGATTAAAACGCTTCAAAGAGTTGATAACATTGAGTGAATGGAAAAATAAAAAAAATTTTGATCAAACTAATGGTTTCTAAAGCAGCACTTTTCTTTTAATACAACTAAAAATAGGATTTTTAAGAAAACTATGTTCTAATGAAATTACGAGTATTCACGTTATGTTATACATATACGAAAATTATTTTTTTCAATACAAAACTATTGCATACTTTTTGGAGAGAATAGAAAAATTAAAAGAAACGTTAACATAGTGGTTGAATTCGAATTTTTGTTAAGTAAGTTAAAATAAATAATTTTATTTTTGTTGGCAAGACCCTTAGCATTGGCGTTTTGGTTGTTGTAGAAATTTGAAAAAATGTGCAGTTTTGGAAATATAAAGCAATGAAAATGGATTTTACTAACTTCGAAAGGCGACGACCTAGAAGGGGAAGAGGGTGAAAAAAATGTCTTGTAACGTAATGAATTTTTTATTAGTGTCTAAAAAGTTTCAGACCTCTACAGCTTACCATCTTACCCATTTTACGGTAGACTCGTCGCCTACATAGTAAGCTCAATGACATAAGAAACTGGTTCATGGTTATCTGCAATCCTCCTACCAAGAGCGAAGTCGGGTAAAAAACAGCTTACTATCTAAGAGAAAAAAAATGTCGAATATGTGAAAAAAAAACGAGTTAAATAACGTTGAACTGTTAGTAGGCCCTTTATATGGGTAATTTGTATCTACTGAAATAAATTTTGAGTAAAAATACAATAGAATATAAAATTTTAGCTTTCTATTTTAAAGTTTGTAAACGGCCTATAAACAGACGGACTAACAGATTGAAACTTACAAGCCCTTTTTCCCAGTTTGGCTAAAAATGAACATGTATACATACTTACGTGTTTAAAAAAATAAATTGTATACTGCGAGCCTCTTGAAAAGTCAACAAACAAAGTTGACCTTCATTTATTATTATTGGTTTCTGTTGTGATATAAATCAAATATAATTAGTGGAATAACAGAAAAGTTACCACATTTATATTATGTAAGTACTCGTACAAATATGCGTATTTGAAATGTAACCATCACCGAAAGTAATGAAAATTTTGGAAAATTAAATCAAAATTAGGAGCAGTTTACATATTACAAATGAAGGGAAATTAAATGCGTGTCAGGCCAAAACTTTTTTAAAAAGTTGTAATTACTTTAAAAGCTTAAGTATAAATAACTTATAGATATTAAAAAAATTTCAGATTTTTGAATATTTTGTTCTACAGAAATTTTATGTTGCTCCAACAGATCCTATAATTTTATTCTCTTTTGTTTGTTATCTTAAAACAGAAGTATATTATATATACAGAGACTTTCAAATGGAAATTAATTTGCTATATAAAAATTAAAAAAATTGAATTTTATTTTCTTAATGTGGTGTTAAAAGCGAAAATGTATGAAGACAAACCTTACAACTTTCATTTCAATGTTCACAACTTGCGCTTTACATTGTATTTGTTGTTTTTAAATATATTGTGTACTTTTTTAGATAATTGGAGATCAGAAAATAAACATCCATTTAAAAATTTAAAAATATGTACAACTTTATGTTATTTTGATTAGACCTTAACCTTTTATAAAAACACGTACTCTTATACGCACATATGAAACTATATTTATATTTTAATTAAAATTAACAAAATTAAAATTTTTTGCGAAAATTAGGTAGACTGTTGATTACAGGGATAATTAAAATGAGGGATAAGTTCCTGGATAATTAAATAATTTTTAATAATTCTCGTTTTTGCCATTTCCAAATTTGTGTTATAAAAAATTTTATATTTGTCCTTGTCATTTTCGGAGATTTTATCCTCTCAAGTTGTTATAAAAACAAAAATATCACATAATTATGCTTTTACTTCCTTTTTACTTATAATATATCAACTTTAGACCCTTTATTTTTTAAATTTGTGTTGTTTTTAAGCATTAAATTTAAAAGAGTATAGAGTATAACAACAGTAGGCTATTTAATTTTGTGCTGTATAGATATTCAAGTTTACCAATTATAATTTTCGATACTCTATTCTCTTTGCTACAATATAACTTGATATAACAATATTAAAAAAATTTCAAATCACTCGTATCCTGCCTATGCTTTTTATATTTAATATGAAACTTTAACTTCTTTTTGTATAGCATGTACATTCTTTAGAATAGTATGTTTGGTATCTATGTAATGTATAATTCTCACGTTCAAAACATATTACGTGCTAACGTGTTCGGGTGCAATATTATTCTTAACGTAAACAAAAAAGTCCATATAAATGTTTTTACATACACCCAATCATGTGTACACTTTTTGTATTATAGTGAAATGATTATCTATACGTTGTATAATTTTAATATATTGAATATGGAAGGCATTGATAGGTAAACATGTAAAATGCCAAGGATTCACAACACACATATTAACTTTGTCATCCAAAAATTTTATATTTAAAATAATCAGCAATCTAAAGGTGTACGATGGTATTAATATTATTTTATACGTATAAATACTTGAATTTTTCTATTAAAATGAATTTAATTGAAATAAAAATTTTTATGTACATGTGGAGATAAAATTTAGTGATTAATTAAATTAAAAATTTTACAAGGATATTATGTTAATGCATTCTTTATATTTTAAAGAATATTTTTTTGTAATTGTTGTGTATAGCTAAAAGCTATTCATTTATAAACGAAGTAAATGTTTAATTTATAAAAGCAATTCAAAAGTTCAATTTCAATTTTATCCTATTTTCTGTTCGTTTTTTTTTCAACGTAATTTGTTCTACCTATATATTCAGTAATATTCACTACTTGAGCAAATTATATGCAGGCATATACATACGTATACCCGGTATGCATTCTTACATATCATAGACCTTATGAATTAATTACATTTTTTTATACTCATATTGAATTAATTGAAAAAAAGTGTTCTATTAATTTCGAAAACAACTCACCTCTCAAATATTGAGATAGAAATGTTTCCTCTCATAACCATATCAATCATGTTCTGGTGCTTTTTGTATATTTAATTTGTTGTTATTTTTGATTCGAATAGATAATATTCCCTTGCTTTATATGTATATATATATTTTATTTCTCTTAAAATATTAGCACAAGGAATTTCTCGTTTTTTGCATTTACCCGTAATCACAGTACCCATTTTATTTGTTTATTACCAGTGTTTCCTATATATTTGTAATATGAATGTAATAAAGTTCATCTCAAATAGGAATGATATATTAAAAATAGAGAATTATAAAACAAATAAGGCAAAACAAAAAAAAATATAAAATATAAAAAAAATAGAAAAGAAGGACTATCAATTACTATTGAAAATATCATTATATATCACAACAGAATACTTTTAACTATTTTATATCCTGTCATATGCAAAAGTTATAAATGATTTTCCGGTTTTTTAGTTTTGAACGTTTCATTTGATATGCAATGTTTTGTATAGACTTACCCTGGTTATTTTTGTTTTCTTTCCTTTTGCTCCTTTTATACAAAACTATAATTTTGGATTGGGAAATGATCATTGCGATGTGACTATGTGAGCACTAAAAATTTATAAATACTATCATATATATAGATATATGTAATATAAATATATGTGGATATATACATAATGTATACATATCACAACATTTATTCGTGTTCTATGCCCACCTTTCTTATTAAAACTCCGTGATTCTATTCATTGGCTATATTCGCAAAGCTACATATGCAATATATTATTAAAATATCTTGATTTATGTAATACATATGTGAATTTAATTAAATGTTAATCATTAATTTTAAATTCATATTGAAAATAATCATGTAATTATTAATTATTAACTATCATTTTATAATACTTTATTGAAAACGATCAGATATCTTTATAATTTCCATTCAATTGCAAACACTAACGCTCGATAATAACATAAAATATAAAAAAGTTATAAAAATCAAAATGTCATAGTTTGTTTTATAGTCCTTGAAAGCAGTGTGTACATATTATGTACATAAAGCGTACATATAGTTCTATATAACATTATATAACACATGCTTGCCTCACACTTGAAACATAATAATTAAGTTTTCGATATAATTTTTATTCAAAAATTTTATTTCACTATACAAGAATTTCAATATTGCATTTATTAAAAAGTTTTGAACAAAAAATATTAAAATTTCTCGCAACATACTTTAAATATTTTTCAAAAAGTCTGTACGTACACATGCTAACAATATATTGTATAATAGTTTTATCAACATTATATAATAAACACAACACAACTCATGAAGCATCAACCATGCAACATTTACATACTATAAGGCAAAGATATTTTGTGTGCCAGTTTTTTATATTTTTACCTTACACACTGTTTAGAAACAACAAACCTTTTTTTGGAAACAATATTTTGAAGATAATATTCAGTTGTTTAGCAACATTTTTCTTATATACATAATATGACAAAAATGTAAACAAATTAAAAATATAGAAAAGATGCGATTGCGCTATTTCATTCGTATCTTTCTGTATTTTCTTCGTGATTTCGTACGTTGAATTGAAAACTAATTTAGTTTCATTTGTTCGGCATTGTGGTAGGTAATCGCGGATTATTTTATTTGAGATTTTTTTTATATGATGAGTATAATATCTTTCCTAAAGACATTGCGTTTGGAATAAAAACCAATAACAGTGCCATCAAAAAAACAAAAACCCAACATTGATAGAGTAAAAAAAGAGGAAAAATAAGAAAGAAAAAAATAAAATTTTAATCAGTTTTGAGAAAAAGGAAGAAAAAAATAAAAATAACAAAAATATAAATAATTTTTTTTACGTTGGTTGGCTATTTGCTTGATTTTCATTCTCCTACGGGAAGTTGTCCGTGGCGTTTGTATATGCGCTTTGTATATTACGGGTTTTGTATGTCGGGTTTACTCACATGTATTTAAAATATTTAATTAAAATATAAATACCACAAATATAACTATAGATATTCGTAGTATATACATAGAAAAACAAAAACAATGCAACTAAAAAAATAACAGAAATTCGAGGAAATTAATTTTTTATGCAATTAAAAATTAAGTGTCAATTATTATTAAAATTCATATATATATGTACGTGTATTATGTGTATATAAGTCACAAAAGGATATAAAATAAATAAATATTATATATATATATATACATATATACTCTTTACACACATAAATGCAAAATATTTAGTCATATTATAAAATACAATATCGTCGCGGTTATTTTCTTCCGTATAACATAAAATCAATTCGCAATTAAATGTTAATTAATAATTTATTATAAAGTATAAAAAGATGCAGTGGAATAACAATAAAATTATAATTATATTGCTTATGTTATAAATAAATACAAAATTTTATATAATATACATGCATATATTAATAAATAATAATCGATAAATAATTATTATTGTAATTATACTAATTAAATATTAAGGATGATATAGATTTTTTTTTTGTTTGGAAAAATAAACCAAGCAGCACAAGCAATTTAGAAAGTAAAAGCAAAAACATCAATGAAAAACTAAACTAATCTAAATAAATTTTATCTAAATTTAAAAAACAAGAAAAATTAAAATAATATTATTATATAATAAAAATTCCTTTGATTATGATTTTTTTTTTTAAATTTTAAAATAAATAGTTGTTTCGAATAGTGCACTATTTTAAAAAATGTTATGATCAAAGACTTTTAAAATTTTGTTAAAATAAAATTTAAAATTAATAAAGTCAATTGAAAAGGGAAAAAGAAAATAAATAATTTAATTTTTCCTTATATAAAATTAATTATTAAAATTAATTATAATGGTTTAATAGCAATAAAAGAGCAATTATTCTATAATATTTGTCAATATATTTGAGTAATCACGGTAATATTTTTTTTAAAATACAATAAAAATTTAATGATTACTAAAATTTTTATGTACATATATTTAAGTATTTTAATTATACACTTTATGTCATCTTTTATTGTTCATTTAAAATTTGATTTTTTAATTAAATTAAAGGAATTTTAACTGGCGACGCATATTTCATTAAAATTTAAATATCGATACTAGAACTCTTTTTAACCCTATATTTACGAATCTATTAAAAAAAGGGTTTTTTTTAATTATAATTTGAGATTTTAAGAACATAGTTAAAAGTACAAATAGTTAAATCTTTGAATAACGGTTTTTGGTGGGGAGGGATATTGTAGTTCCGTATCGTTGTTATTAAAAATTGTTTTTTTAGAATCAACTCGTAATATAAACTGACCAAATTGTAGTACATACTATCATCAATAAGGATAATTTGAAACTATATTTGAATTGACTATGAAATTTAGAAAATTCAGAATTTATTTATCCATTTTTACTAATTCAATCGATTTAAAGAATAACTCTTTTGTTAAATAATGGTTATTAAACTGATTTCTTTAAATTTAGTAAAATATGGCGATGCTCGAATATCAAAGCTTATAATTTAAAATTATATCTTCGATGGGAATCAAAAGGAATATACTTATTTTACTTTTTACAAATGAAATACGTGGCTGTGTTTTATTAATGTTAGATGTTGTATTTAACTTGATTTAGCTTGAGAAGTATTAGATTAGAATTAAAAAGTGATTTTTCTTTTAAAACCATTTATTTGAATTTTTCCATAAAAAAACACGGCACTTTATTAATTAATTTTCTATGACATTTTCTTTCAATATAGAATTATTTTATTTTTAAGCTAAAAGTCAGGTAAATAAATAAAATTCAATTTCGGATGTTGCTTCAACAGATTTGATGTTTTAATGTTTTTGTTTATTTAGTTTTTTATACTTGATATTATTGTGTGTAAATTTCAAATTCGATTTGTCCGAACTCGATTGAGTGCAATTTATTTCACTTAAAACAGTCTAATTATACCCGTACGAACGTATGTTCGAAGGGTATACTAAATTTGCCTTACAGTTTGTAACGCTAAGAAATAACGGTGTTAGATATAGACTCAAGTGTATGTTTTTGATCAGCGTCAAATTCTGAGTTGATTTAGCTTTGTCTGTCCGTCCGTCCGTCCGTCCGTCCGTCCGTCCGTCCGAACGATAACTCAAAAACTAGTTGAGCTAAGTTCACCAAATTTTCACAAATGATTTATTGTAGTAAGTGCCAGAACCCTATTTAAATTGGACATGATCGGGGTACCGGTTCGGGTAGCTGCCATACAACTTGAAAATTTATTTGGCTATATCCCAGAAACTATAAAAGTTGTGGTATTGAAATTTCATACAAACGAATATATTAATAGGGCCAACGTGTCTGATAAAAGTCGTTGAAATTACTTAGCTCCTTCTGGTACCTGCCATACAACTTCAAAAATTATTTGGCTATATTTCAGAAACTATTAAAGCTATGGTATTGAAATTTCACACAAACGAATATATTAGTAGGGCCAATGTGTCACATAAAAGTCGTTGAAATTACTTGGCTGCTTCTGGTACCTGCCATACAACTTCAAAAGTTATTTGACTATATTTCAGAAACTATTAAAGCTATGGTATTGAAATTTCACACAAACGAATATATTAGTAGGGCCAATGTGTCTCATAAAAGTCGTTGAAATTACTTGGCTCCTTCTGGTACCTGCCATACAACTTCAAAAGTTATTTGACTCTTTCTGGTAGCTGCCATACAACATCAATAGTAGTTTGGCACAACCAGTATTTTGAATAACACATAGTACTGAAATTATGCATAAATTAATATGGTAATACGGCAACTTAAAGTCATAGTCTGCCCCATAGTTAGTTATGGCACATTAGTTATTCGCACATAGGATAACAAATTCGTACGGGTATCACAGAGTTGACAAGGTCAACTCTATTTTTTTTCTCGTTTTTTCTTTAATTTTGTTTATATGTTAGATCACTAGTTTTCAAAGCAATCTACATCTTTCCAAAAATCTGAAATCAAAAACAAAATCTTAAGACGTAATACCATTTTCCAATTGAGGAAGAAAGTTTTTACAGATTTCCTATAGCTACTTTCTAAATTTCGGCCATTAATATTGCATTTATATGATAAATTATCTAATAATTAAAACAAATAATCAGTGTCTGTAATTTTTAAAATTGTAAGCGTTTATATACGTATATTAAGTGCAAAAATTGACCTGCCAATCAAAAATATAAAAACTTTTTCAATATACTTAATTATTTAGAAAATAAAAGACCTTATATACAGACGTTGTCATTAAATAAATTAAAACCGATTACAATTAAACGATTCTTATACTGAATAAATAAATTTTTTATCCAAACAAGTATAAAAAAATTTGATATAATCGATAAATTGTAACACATATGTACCTAAAGTATGTATAAGAACATTTTTTATTAAGTGAAATTTTTACAAATGACTGACATTTTATTATATACTGTAACTTAAGTAGTATAAACTTGAATGTAGACACATTTTTAAATAAAATATGTTAATAATTTTAAAGAGCATTATGTGAACATGTCATTAATTATAATAAAAAAGACTTAATTTTTGGTTTCTATTTTATATAGAAATTTGTCTTCTACGATATATGGTTATTTAGCTATTTACTAAATAAAAGCTACAATAAGTGTATTGTCTATTTAATTATTTAATAAGGGTAATTATTGCCTTAAGTCGTTCGATATATTTCTGAAAAAAAAGTCAAAATTTAATTTTTTCAAAGACTGAATTTCTTTTGTGTTACGCAATAATGTTAAGTAAAAACATATTGCTTGGTTTCTGTTAGTTTTTTGTGATAATATTAAATTAAAGAGTAATAAAGCGTCATTTACACTCAATTGCAGTTTGAATAGTTTTTTGTTTTAGAATACTGGAAATTTTTTGCTAGAGTATTTATATAATATAAAAAATTTTATATTAGGCTGATTAAATTTTAAAAATTAATTGGTGAAACATTAATAATTGGTATGCATTGATCGGTATTTCTTGGTGTGGTAAAAATTCTAGATAATGGAATCAGTACAGCGAGTTTAAAATTTGAACTATTAAACCGTGAGTACGTATGCCAACGAATAATTTCATAAGTACGTTACTTGTTAAAAATTTATTAAAAAATTAAGAATAAACATGTTAAAAATTTCACATAATGTTATATGATTTAGAATAGGACCAGAAGAGCCAAATTGATTCAATTTCATTTTATAAGAAAATAAAAAATAAAAATTATAGATATATGATCACCGCCGATATAGCTAAATTTTTTCACATTTTCGTCCTTTCAATTTTCATGAAACATAACAATTACTTACACGGTACAAAAAAAATGTAAAAATATAAGATTGCTTACTTATTCTAACTATTTATATATGTAAATGCTACTGTAAATTTCAGAATCTAATCTAGTTCTTAATATTTTTTATCTCAGAAATTTGAAAACTTGAAATTAAATATAAATTAACCATTTCGATAAAATAATTTGTTTAACTCTTTTTATTGAACAAAATTATTCTTTGAAAAGCAGTAAAGTAATTTTAACTAATAATGTCCTTCAACCAGAAATATCAAAATAATATGGATTTTTAAAGGAATACTAAAATTTTATCCACATTGAAATCGTTACAAAATAGTAATTTCTTCAGCCACCTCATTATTTTTTATGTATTTATGTTATTTTTTTTAAACTTAATTATTTCAAGGGGGGCTATTTACCACAAAGTTAATTACATATTATATATAGCACGTATAATTTAATTAATTATATGCTTTTCGAATTGCAAACATGTGTAGTACATTACCCTTATTTAACTACTCATTCAACCCTTTTATTTCATGTTACTTATATTAAGTTCTCGAAAAAGTGACTTTGTTGGTATATGTGAAGTAAAAGGTGGAGAATTCTTTCTAAATTTTTATTTTTAAACACGTATACTTAAAAAAATTAACATTATTTAAGTATTTACTTCTTAGATATTTTTTAAGAAAAATGTTGTACGGTCCAATTTCTTAACAAATACAGCCCTTCATTATGCATTTTTCAAATTTAAATTTCCGAACTCTTATACATAGCAATTCATTAGTACAGATTGCAATAAAGTGTAAGTTTATGCATAACATTTTATAAAATAAATTGACTACCTACATAATCTACTAAATTTGATTACTAGATTTCAAAATAAAACATTGCAAAATTTTTGAGGAAAAACAATAATACCTAGAATGTTTTGTAACTAAGTAGATATAGAAATATTTAAGTCAATTAAGAAATACTTCAACCCCAATTTTAGTTTTAATTACAGATTTTATATAAATATGTATAACAATAAACATGTGTGTGTGTAAATTGCTTTATAATCGTTTGTTTCATCTATTATTTAATTTCAATTATAATTAAGACATCATAATGAAAATTTATGCAGTAAATTTTTATAATAAATGTTCTTTTTTATAATATTCCCCATTTCTATAAGTATGTACATTATATACAATATTTTTCTTTCAAAAATGTGTATAACAATAAAACCGCACTCACAATTTATTATTTAACGTAAAATGTCCTTCTTCTGTCGCATATTAAATGCAAAATACTTAAACATATACTTAAAGACATACATACATACATAATTTAAAGCACAATGCAAATACAATAATCATATAGTGATAATTATATTACCATGTACAAAACAACTTAGTAGGGCACAAATAATAACAAAAACAAAAGCAAATAATATTATTGTGTGCGTGCCTATGTGTATGTATGTACTTTAAAATTGTAATTCCATTATTATTTTACATAATTTTATTGCAAGAATATGACTTCCAGTTGTTTTGTTGACTTGAAACACATATAATGTCATTGTTGTGTTGTTGAGGTGTAAAAATATTTAAACGACCAAAAACAAAATATAATAATAAAATAATAATTACTGAGAAAATAAAGTTGAAAAAATAAAATGAATAAAACTGCAATTTATTTACGGTTTTTCTAAAACAGAAAAAAAAAACTATAATAAAAAAAATATAATATGTTTAAAATAAGAGGCACTTCTCATCATCGTGATCATCATAATCATCATACTCATTTACATGTTCCTTTATATTAAATATGCATGTATGTATGTGTTCACATGCATGAAACTACTATATTACATACAAGAATGTATAACACAACAAAGATGATGAGGTCCTTTTTTAAATATTATATAAATAATAATAGAATAACCTCGTCGCCGACATCCTTATTATGTCATTCTAAATCATAACTTTTTTTTTGTTTTCTTATACTTTTTAGCTTTTTCGTTGATGTTACGAGTATTGTCGCTTTTTTTGCGTTATTTTCCTTCCCTCATATTTATGATTATTTGTATCTTTCTCGTTTCTTTTCTTTGTTATGAAAAAAAAAAACAAAAATAAATTTTTTGTACAACAGGACGTAGGTGGTTATGAATTGTATACCGTAATTTTTATATATTATTATTAAGTATTTCTTGTTCATATTTACAAGCTTTATTTTTTTCTTTATTCAAGATAAGTCTATATATGTATGTATGTACACATGCTTAAATAGAAATATCACTAAGCTATGTGTACATTATACAATATTTATATTTGTATTGAATGTCTGCTAGGAAGTCCTCGTTAAGGATTTTCAATGAATGTGTAAAGTGTAAAGCGTTTTCTTTATTTTTTTTTTAATAAAATATTGTAGAAATTTATACAAGTATATGTACAAAATTGTACACATTTGTACATACGTTGCTTGTAAATATTTCTACAAGAAATAATATTGTAAAATTATTTCTGTTTTTTTTTTACTTCATTTTTTTAATAAAAAAAAAACACAACAAAAAAACACATAGAATTTAACGTTAACATTATATTTATGAATAAAATAAAAAAAGAAAATAAAAAATCAAAAAGTAATAAAGAAACAAAAAAGAAAAACCTTTTACATACAGAGAGAATAACACACCAAAATAATAATAAAAATAATAACACCTAACATTCATGGTCTTTAAGTTTTAGGCTGAAAAGTTTACAGCGAAAAAAATTAAAAAGTGGAAAATTTCACAGTTATTATAAAATATAACAAAGTAAAAATAAGAAAAATAAATTTCATAAAAATTGTAATATAAAAGGAATGAAAAAGAAAAGAAATATCGCCTGTATCTTGTAAAAAGAAAGAAAAGGAAACAAAAAGTTAAGGCTAAAAAGCTGCTGTACTGTGCGTTTTGATTATTCAAAATACGTGAAAATTTCATGATAAAAATAATAAAAGAATATATATATACATATATATAAATATATATCTATATCTAATGTTTCTTAAATAAAATATCAAAAATAATAAAAAAGTAAAAATAAAAAAAAAATATAAATTTTTTTTTTACTAAAAGTTTAAGGAAATTTCTTGCTACTACCACCGTTGTATCAGAAGTAAAATGTAAAAAAATATATCTACAGGAATATTTGTATATGAATATAAGAGAAAAAAAAAAGAAATTGTGAAACGAAGTTGAAAATCCATCAAGGAAGAAAGAAAAACACATAACAAGTATAGAAATTAAGAAAAACATAACAAAAAAAAAAATTATTTAATTTTTCCTCTTATTTTCCTTTTGATTTTTCACTCTTCTTCTTTTTATTTTTTCATTTAATTTTCCAGTTTCTTATCTTTGTTTTTTCTTTTTGTTTTCAGCTACTTAAAAAAAACTTTTTTTATCGTAATTTTTACTTTTCTCCATCTTAACTGGATTATTTGATCAGAAAAGTATTGGATTAACATAAAAAAAAAAATATAAACAAGATCTCGAAACACTCTGTATTTTTTACTTATACTTTTCCTTTTATTCTTTATTTGTTTTCGTTTTTTATTAGTTTAAAAAAATATATTTTATTTTTGGAAATTGTGGAAACTGATTCCATGGCATAAATTAACCCCTCCATCCCATATCAAAGGTAACTAAAAATTGAAATTAAGAATTCAACTTTGAAATTTGCCATCTATTTCTCTTTTTTTTTGTTGTTGTTTTTTTAAACAAAATTTAATAATATTTTTTTATAACATTTTTTATTAATAATAAAAATAATAATAATAAAAAAAAATAATCTGTAGATAAAATAGTTGTTCAACATTAAAAAAAAACATAAAAACGAAAAAAGAATAAACAAAAGGAAAATGTCATTGAATTAAAAAATCTGAAAATTAAATAACAAGCTTTTGGAGGCACACTTTATTCAATAATCAGAGAACTTATATAAAGTAGCTGAAGAGGAACTGAATCTCAAGTTAAAATAAAAATAATTTTGCATAATTCAATTTTTTAATTTTATTTTTCATTTTTTTTTTTTGTTTTTTGGGAACATTTTGTAATTTTATGCAAAAAAATTTTTACATTTTACATTTACCTATACACACGCTTAATTTACATTGTATCCTTGTTTTCAAGTGAATGGATATTTTCAAAAGGAATAAAGAAAATATTTTAACATTATAAAGTTTGTAAGTAAGTAAATTTTATTTATTTTTTTTTATTTTGTATCAATTATTTTTCACTGCACTTATCTACTTTTTATATTAAGTATATTTTGTAAAATAACTTTTTTAAAGCAATTCTCTACAAAAATAATATATTGTTATTTATAATCAAAATAAAATGCAGGGAAATTCAATTATGTACATAAATTTTTAGTATAGATTTTTAAATTATTCATAACAATTTTGAATAAAATTGAATTTCGTAAATTGTATTAAAACTAATACAATTTGTACAATAGGAACTTTGAGTGAATCGAACTTTGAAAGGTTTAAGAAAGTGTTTTTCTAATACACTATCTTAAAAAATAATTTCAATGTAAAATTATTTAATTAATATTATTTTAATATACTAAAATGTATTTTTAAATTTTAAAAACTAGAAATAAAAATTTTATTGATTTCTGATCTTAATAATAACGGCCATAATGCCTACATTGCGTTAGTTTATTTAAAATCGCTATGTATGTGTTATTCATTACGATTATTATACGACAAATTTAAAATTAAGTCAATAAGTTTATTTAAAATAAAGTCAAACCAATGGTTTGAAAACAAGCACCTTTCCCTTCAACAAGCGAAAATACTGCTTTTAATAACAAATTATGTACTAGTACTATTTAAATTAACTACTAAAATTACTTTCATTCATGTACCAAAAAATTTAAAACATTGCTCACGTTTAGGATTAGCTATATATGCAATCTTTGAAATAAAACAAAAAAATTAAAGAGGCGTTAAACATTATGCTCGAATTTAAGGATTAATTGAGTGAGTTAAGAAAAATAATTATATTTTGGAATGGCATGGCAAGCTAGCTTGCTGCATTTATAGAAATTCGGAAAAGTTTACAGTTTCGGAAATATAAGTCGCCGAAAATTCAAATTTTCCAAATTTTAACAGGAAATAATTTGGTAGGGGGGAGGTGAAAAAAAAAATTTCTTCCAAAGAAATGAATTATTTTATTAGTGTCTAAAAGCTGATAAAAGGTCAGACTACTACAATTTACGCCCCAGAAGAAAATTATATCAAGAATTTGAAAAAAAACTGATTTTAGATAACGGTAAGTTTCAACGGCTATTTTGTTTTTTTTTTTAAAGTTCAAGGAGCCAACCGCTATTTTTCTGCGTTTTCTTAATTTAAAAAATGGCATTTTTAGAATTTTGGATGATTATAACTTTTAGAGGAGGGGAAATGGGAAAAAATTTTCTTCTACGGAAATAAGTTTCAAGTTTCTATCTTTAAGGATGTAGAAATTTTGTAAACAAATGCACAGACGGATGGCCAGAGTGAAACTAATAAGCACTTTTTTTAAAAATTTTTTGATACTTCATTTAAGAGTCCCAACAGCAATGATATTGTGTCTACACGAATACAAAACGACATTTATTTCCATTGAGAAACGTTGAGACAATTTAAAATTGCCTAGAGTTCAAAGATATTGGGATCGTTGCTTGATATTTTGCAAGGGGAGCAAGTACAAAAAAATTTTCTTCTACCAAACCGTTACAAATACGACTATCGACAAACTGTTGAAAGTTGAGACAGACCCCAGTATTGCATTGCGATGTAGCAGAAAAATTGTTGGAAATTTGTAAAAAACCACTTTAAGATGACGGTTACAATTTGTCTAAATTCTATTTAAAGTTTTTTAAAATAAGAAATGAATGACTTTAATTTTCACAGTTTAACGAGAGATATTTTAAATTTTGCCATTTTTGACAAACTTTATTTTCGTATGATGACCTCATTTTAGTTTGAGCAGGCTAGCTCTCTTGTCACTCACTCTCAAAAAACTTTATGAGCCATGAAAATGAAGCAAATGTATACGGGCAAAGTAAATGGAAAAAAATTTCGAAAGTGACAATACATCTTGTGAAGAACCCTGGTAAAGATTAAAGCGGCGTACCTTTCTTTGGTAGAGCTATGTATTAGAACTTTGTATAGAAAGTAAATAATTTTTTGTTAAATGTATTTTAAAAACTTGCGAAAAATGTATATAGTTATTAAACACTCTGCGTATAATAGACTACACTACAGTTTTTCATTCTTAGCAATTTCAAATATGATCAATATTAATCTTATTAGGTTTTTATTCGAATTTTGATGAATTGCAATTAATTTTACGATTGTATATAGGAAATTTAATAAAACTATAAAAGGAAAAATATTAAAATCCTTTGAAAACTGGCCATTCTTTATATAAAAACTGTGAATTGAAAAATTGTGAAGAAAATTGAGAATCACAAAAAAAAAGTTATTTGAAATATGAAAACATTATCTTAACATTGGTATGGTACTCGTATATAAGAGTTATGCAAATTCTGGAAGTTTATTGCATAAATCATGAGAAAATATTCTTTCATATTTATGCATTTCTATGTCGCGTGCTCTTATATTTCATATGGATGATGGATACACAATGATGAACCGTCCTCTCATCATAAAGTAATTTGCATGAACCCGACCTGTATATGAAATACAATTTATTCATGTCTTTTTTACTGTTCCATTTTTATTTTTTTTCAATGCAATTCTAATGATGTGATTGTTTAGACATAATTTTAATTTAATTTTTTTTCTTTTTCTCTTGTTATATAACCTAATTATGGAAAATATATTCTAAATAAGTACAAATTTAAAATATTTTTATATGTCATTTTTTATTAAATTTCTTTTTAAAAAATTGTTTTTTATTATTTTTTGAGTCTGTATTTTTTAGTTTAACCCAATTAAATAGCAAGAAAACTCAAAATAAATTTAATATTCTTTTCTGAAATGAAATTTTTATAATTTTATTGTATGACGGCATAGAACTAATTGAATTTTTAATGAATTTTTAGCAAGTTAGAATTTTGTTGATAGGTTCGTTTTTTTTTTTAATTTAATTTCATTTGATTCAGTTGTGTTTGTTAATTTATAAAATTTTTAAAGAATTTTTATTAAAAGTCAAATGAAGAAATATAAAGAAATTTGATATTATATAAAAAAATTCGAAATTAGGCGGAATAAAAGTACTTCAGCTTTCAATACTTTTTTTTGAAGTAAAAATAAAAAAATGGAAAAGGGACGTAGATGAAAGGTGTTGATTAAATTTAAGTTTCTCTTCATTGTCTTATGGTAAACAAAAATGGCAAAAAATGCTTATTAGATTTATTCTGTTCGTTCGTATATCCATGAAGTCCTTAAGGTGGAGCTATACAAAGGTTGCAAAAAATATGCAGTATAGTTATCCGTTATAATAACAAAATGGCAGTTGAAATTAAATGTCATCTAGCTCACTTTTTTTTTTCTAAGTTTTGATATCCTTTTTCTTCTAAACGGTTGAGTGTAGGAGTCTTAAATTTTAGCAGCTTTTACGCACTAATAAATAATTTATTACATTTAATGAAATTTTATTTCCTTCTCCATATCCTCCTAAGTTATTGTTTCTCGAAATTTGTAAATTTTGAATTTTCGGGGCCTTATATTTTCAAAATTGCTGGCATTTCCTAATTTTTATGAACGTTGATTGCCACCTTACTTACTTTACCGCACTCATTTTAACTAACGTCCAATTCATCATTTTGTTATCGATTCTTTCATTTTTTTGCCATCTGAAATATATAAAATGGTTTACAATATTTTAGGAAAAAAATTTTTCACTTATTTTAAATTTTCACTTGTTCAACTGAAAAATACTGTTTCACATAGCACTGGTTGGATCCGACTTTAGCAAAAAACATTATTTTATCAAACTATTATTTTAAGACGTATACCTGAAATAATGCGTTAATAATACGATTTGATCTGCTAAAAACTTTAGAAACTTATGCAAGTTGTTTAGGCAAAAATTAAAAAAAAATTTTATAATTTTTGGCTAGTTACAGGGCGTTGTCTGAGCTTGCTTGCGTAGTTTAGTTCAAAATTTTAGTTTACTTTCATTAAAATAATTGAAAATTTTTAATTAGAAACTATCGTTTTATTATAAAAATTGAGGTGCACCTTTTATATGTCAGAGGACTTTTAGACCTTTAATTTGTCGAATAGAAACATGTGTTTAAAAACCGTGTAAATTTTTTTTAAATTCGAAATTTCTTTCCTAATTTTGTAACTCTTCTTTTTTTAAATTTCTTTGAGTTATTTAAAAGTGAAACAAGTAAAAAATTTATATTGAATAATGTTATAATAAAGGTATTTCTTCCATAAAGAAGACAGTAATATTTTTTAAGTAAGTACAAACTCATTTGTAACTCAAGACTTTACCTTTTAAATAAAAGCAATAAACTAAGAACCTGTACATTTAATATGTTTATAATTTTAATTTAAATTTGAAATAATGCCAGATTCTGTGAAAGTATTGTTTTTTTATTAATGTGAAAGTTATTATTTATTATTATTATTTTATACCTTTTTTTATAAATTAAATAATTATTAAAGTTTAGGGTTTTAATAGGTCAAATTTTCGCTTAATTTTTATCCATTAAAAGGCTCGCAATTATTTTAAATAAGAAGGTTAATTTGTTTTTACAATTTTCATTTTGATTTCTTTTTTTTTAAATTCGCGAATATTGTAATAAAAAATTGAATAAATTTTAAATTTTATCAAATTATTATATAAAAAACAAAATTTAATGTTAAAGCACGTGATCAAATTTTATTCATTTTTTAATAAATTTACATTTTATATGTACATATATATATTTACTGTATAAAATGTATTTTATAATATGAATACAAAGTCTTAAATATATTGTACACAATATTCATCCATTATCGCTTTATCTTATATGATCCTGTATCCATTAGATAATTTATTTAATATTATCCATAAATAAACCTCATTTTTTATATGATTGTATACTTATGTATATGTACATATTATGTATATACATATATAATATATACGCCTTAAATATATAGCGTACCTAAGCCAGGATATCATACTTAATTTGACAGGCAAATATGTTGTTTTTTATTATGTTCATTGTT